ATTTTTGGCCTTTTTTGACTACCTTACTCTTCCTATAAATCACAACTCTTTAGTAACAATTTCCCTATAAGTCGTTAGGTTGTCACAAAACCACTACCCCCTCCCCCCAAAAGTGTGACGCAACTCTAATAGCTGTTTCATTATAATTTTGGGTAATAGCACATTAAATCAGCCAATCCATTGAACCACGTTTCTACTTTTTTGATTCATGTTTTGATGATTTCTATTCATAAAAAGAGATCATGCTATTTATAAAAAAATTATATGCAAAATTTCAGACAAAAATGTTGAGTAGTTGATGAACTCGTCAACTAATCAATTATTTTAAAAAACCAGGTCAATATTAAAATTGTCTTATCTAATTTGCATGACCCAACTTTGGGGCCAATATATCAAAACACCTCCGTTCAAATTTTTTTTCTATAAAAGAATTAAAAGCGTTAAAAAAAAAAATATAAGTAACTAAATTTAGTTACTTATAATCTTTCATGTAAACATAAATCTTACTTGAAAAACAATAGGAACATATAGAACTTTAAATCAAAAAATATATAAATTTTTCAAACAATTACTAAGAAAGTGTTTGAAAGAGTTGCAAATGCAATGAAAGTAAACTAGCTGTAATTTGAAAAAATGGCACTTAATTTATATAATTTAAAAAAATACGACGTTTTTAAGGAATATAATCAGTTTGTCGACATTTATATTTCAGTCAACAGATTTTTGGTTTTAAAGTCTTTTTTTTTTTTAAGAAAGCATTCAGCAGTTTTTAAGGATTTGCTACCCCTCATTTTTTTCCTAGAATCGCCTCTGCGCACTTTTAACCAAAGCAATGTTTTTAACCTAAACAATTTAAAAAACAATTGTTAAGCATTACTCATACATTTTCTATGGGGTTAAGGTCAGGCAATTGTGCAGACCATTCTAAAATTTAGATTTTATATTTAACTAACTGTTCTTTCGTATGATGTGCAGTATAGCATGGAGCATTATCTTGATGTAATAATATTGAAGGTTCATATTTATTTGAAAATATTTTATTAACAGATGTGTCATAACACGCTTCTAATACTTCAATATATTTTTTTAAATTAATAAATATTTTGCTTATTTTATTTCTGAGAGTCAAGGTTTTTTTTGTCTTTCTGCCTTTCAATCTACATTCTGTCAATCTTCTACTAATAGTTTGTGCAGAAATATTGACTCCAGTTGCTTATGCAAGGTCATGTGATTGCGACAAAGACAATTTACGACGATTTTCTCAAGCCATTTGTGATATCATTTGGTCTTCTCGAGCTGTAGTTTTCTTTTTTTTTTCAGTTCATTGTTTACTTTTAAGACTCCCGAAAGTTTTGCGCCGTTTTTAGTTAATTGCACTGTACCACGGGAACATTTCAATGTTTTTGCAATGTTTCGTTCACTTTCTTCTTGCGAGTACAAAAGAACATTCTGCCCTCGTATTCCTTAACTAAGTTTCACATCATTTTTCAAATAAAAAATATTCAATAAAATTTTCTTAAGAAAAAATCATTATTTACACTTTTTAACTGTTTAAATAGATCTGCACTGAGCAAGGTATAGGATGAAATGCAAGAAGCGAACTTGAGTAAAGCTCGACTTGAACTTTACGTTGCAAAAATTAGCGACAGAGTATGGGTTTTCCCCTCAAAAAATACTCTGCCGCTATTGGTTACAAAAAAAGTTCAAGTCGAACTTGACTCAAGTTTGCTTCTTGCATTCCACCTTTATTAAAAGCAATATTCACATTTTTATTACAATCGAGAATAATGGAAATCCCAATAATAAAATATAACTTGAGGGATTCCCCGATTCTTACTTAAAACTAATTTATTGATTTAGACTGATTATTATATATTTAAAGTACACTATTTGTTATTTTTATCAAAATTTTAAAGTGGATTTAACCTTATGGCCACGGCTGTATTTCAATTCGTTTTTTTTTGTTTTGAATAATGATAATAAACGGATCCTAAAAGGTATTTGAAAAAAAAACTTTTTTTTTGAAACATTTCTAATAAACAATTACAGACTAATCTCAATACTTCCAACCTTTTCTAAAATACTTGAACAAATAATATACAATAGATTATATGGTTTAAGTCAAACAAATTGTCCTTAAATTTAAATAAAACTAAGTATACTTTTTTTCATAGACTTCACGATAAAGAAAATATTTCATTAAAACTTCCTGATCTTTACATTGTCAACTTTAAAATAGTTAGAGAGTCATCATTAAAGTTTTTAGGAGTGATACTTGACAAAAACATGACATGGAGACAATTGAAAACAAAAACTTCGAAAAATATTGGCATACTATACAAAGCTAAGCAAATCTTAAACCAAAACTGCTTAAAAATCTTATATTTCTCCCACATACATTGTTATATAAACTATGCAAATATTGCATGGTGCAGCTCTAATGTAAGTAAAGTTAAAAAATTGCTTAGTAGACAAAAACACGCTGTCAGGATTATTTCAAATGCAGGTCGATTCGCACATTCTAAAGAACTATTCAAAAATCATCACAAACTCAATGTTCTTCAGTTTAACCTTTATCAAATTCTTTACATTTTAATGCATATATATATATATATATATATATATATATATATATATATATATATATATATATAGTATATATATATATATATATATATATATATATATACATATATATATATATATATATATATATATATATATATATATATATATATATATATATACATATATATATATATATATATATATATATATATATATATATATATATATATATATATATATATATATAATATATATATATATATATATATATATATATATATATATATATATATATATATATATATATATATATATATATATGTTGCACAATGTGTGCAACATATATTAACATATAATTGTGCAACATATATGTATATATATATATATATATATATATATATATATATATATATATATATATATATATATATATATATATATATATATATATATATGTTGCACAATGTGCTATTTCAAACGAAACATTTACCGAAAATATTTTATTTATGCTCCGACTTGTCCCAACTTATTTTACTAACAACTTTTTTCAAATCAACGCCAACAGATATATCACACGAGGAACCGAAAACATTACGTTGCCCATAAAAAAAAACAAATTTTTCGAGATTTCTAATTTTATATCGTGGCCCCTATTTATACAACAAAATAATTCCTCAAAATATAGAACTTACTAAATTAGATACTCTTATTGCCCTGAAGAAAAAACTAAAAGATCTCATAATTAACAAAACCAATTTAATCGATATGTATTAAATATAAAAGAACAATTATTAAAATAAAATGTAAAAAGAACAATTTAAGCATTAAAAATAAATAAATAAATAAAGAAACAAAAACATAAATTAAAAAAATATATAAAAAACACATATTGTTAGCAACTATACATAGTAAAATATTACTGAACAGATGACTTCAAAAAGTTAATGTGTGTTTTATAGATTTACTCTTTAAATTTTTGGTTTATTTTGTATTTTAAAGGTTCTCGATGAAAAGACTTTTCTTAGTCTTCTGCGAGTTTCCTTACAATTACATAGTAATATTAATATATATTAAAAAATAGTTTCAACGACAACGACAAACAAGTCCCTAGTAGCCCTGTGGTGCGACGGACTTGTGTATATTTTTTAAATGCATGGGTTAATAGCCAGCACTTTATATTATAAACTATGAATTTTTAAGTTTATTATTTTACCTCGTTGTCAAACACGCATGCGTAAAACAGTTAACGTTCTTTTTATATTGTAGTTTGTTAACGCTCTTTATATATTCTAAATATTTTTGGTGGACATTTATATAAACTGGAGACATGTAAATGTTATTTGTTTTTGAAATATATAATAATGATTGTGTAACAAAAAAAAGACACTTTAAAAACTACAGTTTGGTAATAAAAAAGGCACTTCTTTTTACTCCATAACATTTTTAAAAAATAGTGTCTCTCAACAAGATGCCGCCAAATGGCTTGTAAAAACTTCTTTTCTATAAAATTGAGAGGCTAATTAAATTTACAGCGAAGTATCTATAATATAATTAAAATTTATAGAAACTACATATTTTCTATAATATATAAACTTTATTTGGTATTATAGTTTGATTTTTCATTTTTAATTAAAAACAACAACAACAACAACAACAACAACAACAACAACAACAGCAACAACAACAACAACAAAAAAGAAAAACAAATCAAAGACAACCAAAAATATAAACGCTTTTTGTTTTTTAAAAATATCCAAATATTTAGTTTAAAGAATTTTAAACTAAAATTTCTTACGGGTTTATTATTTTTTACAATGACTTTACTTTACTTTGAAATTATTTATATTAAAATATATAATAAAATATTTATATTAAAATATGTGCTTTATTCAAAGAAAACCTTAATTTAAAATATCTTGATTTATTTTTAATTGTTTTTTGTTTGTTTGTTTGTTTCTTGTTGTTCTATTGTGTATATAATTTGGTTTAACATTTTATCCTAGCTTTTTAACATTTTATCTTGGTTTTTGAATGTTTTTAAATGTTTTTGCATAAAGGTGTATTATTATTTGACTACAGACGTTGTATTTTATTAAAAATTAACCATATATTATAAAGGGCTTCATGACAAGATCCTCATGATCTTCTAAAAGCCCTGCCGTTACTAATGTAAAAATTGTAAACTATATTTGGTTATTGTGACATTTTTAAACAGCAAAATATGAAAAAAAAAAAAAAAAGAAAAAAAAAAGAAAATTTAAATGAACTGACTTTACGTTACATTGACTTAACTTAATAATTCAATAAGTGCGCCCTTTTTTAAACGTTGTTTTCAACAATAGAATTTAGACATTGTTATTAAATACACCAAATTTAAGTCGACTTTTAAGACGGTTCCGAAATCAAGCGTTCTTTTTAAATCTCGAACCGAAAATGGTGGGTAAATATCGGAGGAAATATCTCCATCTTACCTTAACATGTAATCTGTTAATATCTAGTCAATCTATAACAAGCTTTTTTCAAGTTTAATCTTATTTATTTTACTACATTTCAAAATACCTTACATTAAATATTCTTTTAAAAATTGGAAATAGCGTATGTAATATGAACATTTTAAGGTGTTAATCATTTGATGTTTTTTTTCAAATTAAATTTGTAGCTAATTAAAAAGTATAAAGGTGTTGTGTTATATTCTTTTAGGCGGATACTGCAACCATCCGTACAAGAAAGTTTATGGACAACCGTCTTCTTTACCGAAAGCAGATGGTTGTCGATGTGTTGCACCCTGGAAAAGCAACAATTCCACTTGCTGATATAAGGGAGAAACTTGCACGTTTATACAAAACTACAGCTGATAACGTAGTATGCTTTGGGTTTAAGACAGTATTTGGTGGTGGAAAAACAACCGGATTTTCTTTAATTTATGACGATTTAAAAGATCTTAAAAAGATTGAGCCAAAGTATAGACTTCAAAGGGTAAGATTTAAACTAAAATGTTATTAAACTTAATGGTGTCTAATTTGAATATTTTTAATTATATCTATATAACAATTTATATATATACAAACATACTTAAATTAGTATTAATCAACATTCTCCCATTTTTAATGACTGATTATGGTAAAAACTGAAGTACTCTAACTTGTCAAAGCTTAAAAAATATCTTTTATTCTAATAATTGTATGTGTATTTAAGCATACTTGTCTATATGTCAGTTGGTTAAATTCGCAATACAATCTGTAGATACAGTTAATAACTAAAAATTGCTATTAAAAACTCAAACCAACTTAAAAATTGCTATGCACAATAATGTGCTTTAAAATTAAAATATTAGATTTTATAGTTCGTCAAATCATGTGGCTGTATTAATATATAAACTGTATTTTAAAATTGTCACAAAAAAATGATTTTAAATGACAAAAAATATGCTATCAGTGCACAAACTAAAGTAGCATTTGCTATGCATTTGATTAATTGCACTTAATGTGTAACCATAACCATCAGCAGGGTGTCCGTCAGGTTAGAGAAAAGTCAGAATGCAGATAATTGCTTAAAAATATCAGAAAATACTCGATTTTTAAATTAATCAGGAAGAAATCATAGGAGGTGGATTTTTATAAAACTTATGTTACTCATGTCAGTTTTATATCATACATCTAACGTAAATTTTGATTGGATCTTCACTTATTCTAATACTTTAACAAGTTTTGTAGATTCAAGTTTTATATTTTTAAATCAAATTTTAATTTTAAGAATTAAAGTTTAAATTTTTATATATTTTTTTTTGGAATCAAATTTGGATAATTTGAAATAAAATCAAGGGAAACAAGTGGTGGATCAGGAAAATCATCTTTAAATATTGACAAACACCCTGTTCACTAAAACCTCAACAATTTTCTTTTTAAGCAAACATTCAAATTCATACAGGAAATATCTTTTTCCAGATATTTTGTCTTATCTTCGAGTTTTTCCAGATACCCAAAATGTTTTCCATACATAAAAGTTTGGGTATATTGTGTAATTCCTTTTTGAGCTGTTTCACTTATTACTCATACAAAACTAAGAAAAGTTTGAATATAAATTGAAAAGAACTTAGCTAAAAGCTAAATTTAAGAGAAATATATATTCCAGATATTTAACCTCAACAATATTACAGATTTTTAAAAATGTTTTTGATCTATGTGTATAAAACTGCTCTCAATTCAAGTAGTGAGTTTCCAAATAAGGTAATAGTGTTTACAAATAACACTTGTAAAGAGAATTTAAAAAATAAAAGAGCATTTAATGCTTTGCTAAAAACTATACAAGATGTTCAAACTTCAAAAACATTGACTAAATTACTCAAAATTAATCAAATTTTTGATTTGTAGGTCTGTAGTTGTAATCTGTAGGTCTTGTTTTGAGCCGCCAGTTAATGAGATTTTATTATTTTTAATTATATTTTATGGAGAAACTTAAAATTAAGCAGACAAGGTCATTTTTTTTGTCTTAACTTCCATTAGACAAGCATGTCAACCATTTGATTTTAGTATTTATATAAAATTTTCTTTTGATTTTAATTGATGGACAAGTTGAATGGTTAGTAATGCCTCTTGTTACCAAATGCCTTTTATATGTCCTTGACTTCAGGTCTCAAAATTCTCTAGTATTTCTTGATATTTTTCATAATTCAAATTTTTAAATTGATTTAGAATTAAAACAGTTAACTATGATAGACTCTGCTGCTTTCAGCTTTATTAGTCAATAGCATAGTTGTAGGTGTAACCTTATCTATATTATCTATTAAAAAAAATAATAGTCAAGAGATTTAAAATTTAATAATTAAACAACAATAGTTAATACACTTGAATTGATGAAATGATCCTTTGTATTGCTGTGTGAGCTGTCAGAAACCAATTTAAAGCTCACATCCAGTGTAAGCGTCTCAATTCATTTTAAATCATTGCAACATAACTGTAACATACTGTTCTATAAAATTCTTTTAAAATGTTAAATTTTAAAAACAAAAAACTATGTTTATTTATTTAATAAAAATTATCAAGTATGTAATAAAATATTTATTTGAAGATATTGCAATGCAATGGGTTAATGTACTCTATGTTAATAATACCTTATATCACAATTTGAGCTGACATCTTTAGACTTGCATTATTAGTGATGTCTGCACCACTAACTTACTGGTAACATAGTTAATAAAATTTAAATTTATCAAAAGTAAAATATCTTTAAAATCGTTTGTCTGTTAATTTACTAATATGATTTTATAGAACTTTAGCAGTACAAAAATTTAAAAAAAAATAGCATATTCACATATATATGCGAATATATAACATAAAATCAAGATTTTAACCCTTTTTCCTGATTTTTGATATCAATCAATTATATATTCTGGAAAAAAGATCTAACTTTCATGGTCGTTACAAATAGTTATAAAAACTAATATAAAGTAAAAACCTCTTTGATATAAAACATATTATAGACACATATAGTTATAATAAAAATAGCAATAAATTAACAAAATAACAATAATAAAAATAATTGTATAATAATAAGAATAGTACCAGTAAGTATAATTAACACCCAATAATAATGAATAAAAAATAACATAATAATAATAAATACAATACATGTATAACGGAATTGTTAAATAAATATTTAATAGAAGGCTGTTCATTAAATACGTCAACAAAAATTATAAAAACCAGTAACTAAAAGAGTTAAATCAATATAATCTTCCATACAACAATTATATATACATAGTTACAGTTACAAACAGTAATAAACTGACAAAATGTAAATAATAAGGATGACATAAAAACAATTATCGATAAAAGGTGTCTGTTTTTAAAACGCAGATATACAAGAAGCTAAATTCAGGGTAAATATTAAAAAATGTGATTACAAAAAAACATTCCACAAATGTTGGCGTTTACCTTTTATTCGAGCGGCAAAATATTTATATAAATTTTATATTTAGATTGTTGTGTATCTTTGTTTTTTCATAAGTGTAGTTTAAAATAAAAAAAAAGATTTTGCATAATTTATGCAAAAAACAAAGACAATTTGCTCAAATATTTTTTGTGTAATTATCTTTTAATATAAACAATAATTATGAAAAGACTAGAATACACAACAAAAAAAAAACTTCAAACCATTAGAAAAAATTTTTATAAAATATTGAGATTTACCTTAGGCTCAAAGGAACAATTCGGTTTTTTTTATAATATATATTTGAACCAAATTTGGCTTATTGTGTGCTCTTGTTTTTAAAATTTATTTTTTTGGACACCACCCCCTATTTTATACACTAAAATCTATCTATTTAAATATTAAACAAATAGTAAGTTTTTTTTGTCTAAAAACAGTACCAATTTCTGTTGATGTGCAATTATTAATAGTTCAGTTTTTTGCTGTTTTCTAAAAAATAATTTACCCATACTTAATGCAATATGCAAATGGGTCCCTCATAACACTGATATTACACTCAAATTGTTTAACAGTGATGTGAAGCAGTATTTTGAACAGTTTAAGTGAAGGCATAAATGTATATGATCAAAATTTTCTTTTACAAAAAAAAAAACTTAGACAAAAAAGCATGAGAGTAAATAATGGCTTGACTTAATTTTTTGAAAAATGTTCTTCTGTGTTTATAGTTTTGCTTTACTACTTGCTCAGTTAAATGTAGCCTTCAAAGGCTTTGATCACACTACATTTTCAATTCACCTGTTTGTTTTTTTCTAGCTTGGATTGTATAAAAAAGAAAAACCACCACGAAAACAAAGAAAGGAACGAAAAAATAGAACAAAGAAAGTTAGTGGTACTGCTAAGGCTAAAGTTGGTATCGGGAAAAAGGTAATTGTGTTTAATATTTTGTTTCTTTCTTATTACTTTTAACATTTCTTTACTCATTTACACTTTTAACATTTCTTTGCACTTTTTTTTATAGTAAATCGAAATCAACTTTGGAAATGTGTTGATAAAATTAAAATTGGAAGTGTTGTTGTTTTTCTCTTTTGTTTTCTATTAATAAATGTATCCTTATGCCTCTTGACTTCGAAACCCTGAAGTCTGAAGTACTATGATTTTATATAGCTTAATATATCAAGGAATTTTAAAGTTTTCTACTCAGTATAGTTAAGGCAATTTAAAGTATTATAGCGTCTGTGATGCTTTCTTGACTTCGACATTTTTATTAAACTTTTTACTTAGTTTAAACAGGGATTATCTTTTTCCGGATATTTCTGGAATTCCGGATTTTTTTCTCAACTTTTAGTTTTTCCGGATATCAAAAATGTTTTCTATACATACGAGTTAAGGATTATATTTTTGTAACATATTTGTCTTTTAAGCTTTTTCACTCAATACTTATACAAAAATTAGGAAAAGTTAAAAAAAAATTAAAAATAACTTAGCTAAAATCAAAATTAAGAGGAATATTCAGGAAAATATATTCCGGATATTTTTCCTTACTGGCTTTCAGGATTTTTAAAATATGACCTGGATGATCTATGTTTAAACTTCCGTTAAATAATCATTGACAATTTGCGAATGACCCCTAATACGCTTTTTAGGTGAAATAAGCATAGTTTCAGACGAGTAGCAAGACCAAAAGTTATGAGGTCGAGACGTACGCAAAGATCTTTAAGACTTCATTTTTTGCAATGCGTCAAGACCTATTCTTCACAAAACTGAGTAGCAAGTACTGTGAAAATAAAACTTCGTTTTGTTAAAATAGATGAAGTTTATGTGCAGAATTCAATAATTAGTTTTTTAAGGTCTAGGCCTAAATTTTTGGTCCTAAGGTCAGGCCTTCGGCTAACAGCATAATTTACAAAGGACGAGCATGGATTAACAAACGATCTTTTCTAACCGTTTATCGGCATTTTTTCTATATTATAAGCGCCTTCTTGGTCGGAATTTAGTAATTTTTTGTGAAAATTGATTCAAATATTACATTGACTACTATATACAGTTAATATACGTCAGAACCGAATAGAACTAGGATTTATATTAAAAGTTACGGTCCTTTTTAAAAGGAATTTAACTATATACATGTTAACTCCGATAACAGAAAGTGACTCTAAAATGGTGTTTTTTAGATTTACCTATAGGGTTAGTAAAAACTTGAAAAGAATATGGGATGAAGTTACTTTAAAGATATTAAGAAAACTGAGACAAAAAAAGATTATAGCGTCTAAAACTCTTGTATTGGCTGATATAGTCTTGCTAATTCCACATAATAAAACTCGAATAAATTGTATGTAGCGTTAAAAGAACATAGAAACATTTTCAAGCAATCTCTAGAAAAAAACATTCCAAAATGATTTCTTTACTTCCTTTCAAAGTTTTAACAATTTTTGTTGTGTGTACTTTTACCTTGTAAAAATATTTATTGTAGGTGGTAAAGAAAATAATAGACTTAGAATTTCCCTGGCAATTTTTTGTTAATATTTCTCACTTGATATTTAAAAAGTGCGTGGTTAATGAATCAAAAATGTGCGAATATTTATGCGGATTTGTTTTTATTTATGTAGAAAAATCAAGAAATCCAAGATGGGGGCTAAAGCTAGTGTAATAGATAATTACCTTTTATACTTGTGAAATAGGATATTTTGAAAGTTTAGTAAAGATAGTTAAAGTATTTACTCTAAAGTAAATATGTGGGTCTTAAAGAGATTTTTTATACAACTTCATAAATCGAATAAATGTTAAATCTTCACAGCCTCATAAGGAGATTGTTATGAGAATCTGATGGACTTGTTACTATTTAGTTGTAAGCAGTGGCGGATTAAAACTTATTGGGGCCCAATATCGCTATTTAAACGTAGAATTTGAATAAGATATTGGTTATATACTTATAGTACTAAGGAGAGTTTAAAAATATCTGAATTTCTCAACAGTATCTTAAGATTTATTCGAAAATAACCGAGTACTTTGAATTGATTTTACGGATGCCCAAAGCTTTTGATAATTGTTATTTATTAAATTTTAATATTCTTTCGCAGATTTTTTTGTTATGGGCTGCTTTAACTACGTTTTTTTTTTTACGTGCTTGGACGTATAAAGATACGTTACAGTACACCAAACATTCATGTGTCTGTATTTCGATTTTCGACATTTTTTATTGTTCAATAAAATATTTACATTTTTAATTTGCCCAACACAATTGGCTAATAAAGCAGCATTTTCAATTTTTATTTGTTTGCTTTAACTCTTGTTTGATTTTTTCTTCATTAAAGGTGTAATTATTGAAAGGTCTAGATTATATATTTAGATAAAAAAATTTTTATTCCAAACATAATATATTTTAGAGTATAACAATTTTTGTGTTATGCTATTTATTAAGGTTGATAATGGTGATACTTGTATGTAACGGTATGTGATCGCTTAAGTTAAATGGCAAAGAAGGTATAAGTTTATCCTTTATAAATGACTCTTTTAGTGCTGCAATGTGATCACAAATTTTTGTAACTAAAGCGGGTGTTTTTTTCACTAGATATGTGTATCATTATTTTGATTGAATCCCACTTGAATTATTCAAATGGTTTCGAGAATTTTCTTTATGATTTTTGTGAGACTAATGTAAAGTTTAATTATAAACTTGTAAACGTTTTCAAAAATTTTATCTTGTAAATTCAATAACGAATGAAACGAGCAGATACTTATAGCATATATTCTGAAACATTTAAACATTTCAAAAAGCAAAGTTGAGAAATGGATGTTGGCAATTTTTTTTACATTCTGTCTAGGGAAATATTTTAAGTCATCGAAAGGTGGAGAAGAATCTTTGAAAGTAGTGCGTAGTCTTAATAAAAATATTGATAACGATATTATCAAATATAACGATATTATCGAATTATATCGAATTTGGATAAACTTAAATTTATAAAAATTAAAAACTTTGGAAACGGAAAAAAAAAATCATAAAATGGTAGACAACAGTATATCAATCTTAAAAGATAAAAATTTATTATTCTGACAATAGCCTTGATAATAGGTAAATATGAGGAAAATGATTTTATTTTTTAATGATATGGTAACAACAAATCAACTGTGACTTAACTTGAATCACCTCACATTTTAAATTGAAATTTATGTAAACAAATAATGAATCAATTGTTCATTTAATGATTTGATTATAGTTAATAAATCACAAACGGAAGTTATGTATAATAATTCTAATAAATAAAGTAAGATCTTTCTATATAATCAACAAATAAAAAACAATCACTGGCCGTTTGCTTTCAATTAAAATATAAATTTTATGAATCCAAAAAAGAAACATTTTTCCTGAATATGCAAAATCAACTATTTCTAAAATAAATGAACCAATTCAACCTTTGTGCCTAATATAAGAAAAATTATTTAATCAATTAAATTTGGCAAAGAAAAAGCAAATGGCAGGTTACACTAATTATTAAATAAATTTAAGCAAAAAAAATTACTCAAAGATAAATCTATGGAGAAAAGTGTTATGCTTCTGAGAAAAGAACCAGCTAAACAAATTCTCCATATTGCAACGAAAAACTGCATTAATGACTCATTGGAAAATGCTATGAATAAACTGAATAATCTCGTATCAAAACTATTGATTCTAAATCCTTCCTGCTAAATTCCTGCTGATGCAAAACCAAAATCTGTCAAACGTATTAAATCTACGTCCTCTAAACCAGGACCAATTATCGTCGAACTTTCTGATGTCTCCGAAAGAAACCCATTATTAACAGCAGCAAAAAAATTGAAAAATTCAGATAATTATAAAAATATTTTTATAAGCCCAGATTTGACTGAGGCTGAAAGATATTTAAACTATCAGTTAAGAATGAAGCGTAATGAATTAAATAGTAATATCAATTTATTTTTGTGAGACTAATGTAAAGTTTAATTATAAACTTGTAAACGTTTTCAAAAATTTTATCTTGTAAATTCAATAACGAATGAAACGAGCAGATACTTATAGCATATATTCTGAAACATTTAAACATTTCAAAAAGCAAAGTTGAGAAATGGATGTTGGCAATTTTTTTTACATTCTGTCTAGGGAAATATTTTAAGTCATCGAAAGGTGGAGAAGAATCTTTGAAAGTAGTGCGTAGTCTTAATAAAAATATTGATAACGATATTATCAAATATAACGATATTATCGAATTATATCGAATTTGGATAAACTTAAATTTATAAAAATTAAAAACTTTGGAAACGGAAAAAAAAAATCATAAAATGGTAGACAACAGTATATCAATCTTAAAAGATAAAAATTTATTATTCTGACAATAGCCTTGATAATAGGTAAATATGAGGAAAATGATTTTATTTTTTAATGATATGGTAACAACAAATCAACTGTGACTTAACTTGAATCACCTCACATTTTAAATTGAAATTTATGTAAACAAATAATGAATCAATTGTTCATTTAATGATTTGATTATAGTTAATAAATCACAAACGGAAGTTATGTATAATAATTCTAATAAATAAAGTAAGTTCTTTCTATATAATCAACAAATAAAAAACAATCACTGGCCGTTTGCTTTCAATTAAAATATAAATTTTATGAATCCAAAAAAGAAACATTTTTCCTGAATATGCAAAATCAACTATTTCTAAAATAAATGAACCAATTCAACCTTTGTGCCTAATATAAGAAAAATTATTTAATCAATTAAATTTGGCAAAGAAAAAGCAAATGGCAGGTTACACTAATTATTAAATAAATTTAAGCAAAAAAAATTACTCAAAGATAAATCTATGGAGAAAAGTGTTATGCTTCTGAGAAAAGAACCAGCTAAACAAATTCTCCATATTGCAACGAAAAACTGCATTAATGACTCATTGGAAAATGCTATGAATAAACTGAATAATCTCGTATCAAAACTATTGATTCTAAATCCTTCCTGCTAAATTCCTGCTGATGCAAAACCAAAATCTGTCAAACGTATTAAATCTACGTCCTCTAAACCAGGACCAATTATCGTCGAACTTTCTGATGTCTCCGAAAGAAACCC